AGTTCAGAATGCGTTCCACCACCTTGCACGGCACGCTAGTGAGGCTTATAGCCCTGTAGCTGCCAGGCGATAGTCGGTCACCAGTTTTGTAGATTGGCGTGAAAATAGCTTCATTCTCAGCAGGGGGAAGGCGGCCTTCATCAAGAGAATGACGAAAAACGAGATGTGGATGACTTACCAGTGTGCAGGACGTTTCTTTCAGGATCCCAGCTTCCTTCTAAGCAGAGGGAAGGCGGCCTTCATCAAGAGACTGACGAAACACCAGGTGTGGATGACTAACCAGTGTGGAGGACGTTTCCTTCAGGATCCTTGGATGGACCTCGTTGGACCCCAACGTGCTGAATTGGTTGGTCTGGTTCAAGAGTTGATGAATTTCCTCCACCGACAAGACCAATTTAGAGGCTGTTCTTAGTGCAGCCTTGACAAGATTGGATGTGACACACGCTGAGGCTGAGTACAGACACGCATAGTGTTCTTTGTAAACCTCAGATATCACTGTTGGGTCATTCGTCGGTTCTCCGTTTCTGTCCCTCAAGGAGGACGTGGATGGCTTGTTTCTGCGGCGACGTCTCATTTGTTTGAACAGTACGTTTTTGTTTTTTCGAGCGAGGTCCAGAATGGTGGCTTGTTTTCGTATGTTCCATTGGCGGATTTCTGATTTACAGCTGTTCCACATTTTACAAAATGCCAGCTCATCTTCTGTAACCCCTGTAGTCAACTTTTTGAAGAAGAGTTGGGAAGTTTTTTTCAGAAGTCCCCGAATCCCTTTTGGCATCCTGCGGTTCGTTCGAGTGCGTTTTGGTTTTTTCGGGACGAACGTTGCGTCAGCCTCGTGAACCTTCTAAACAATGGTCCTATATAGTTCCTCCACTGGAGCTGGTCCCAGTGTGAATTGGTCAAGAAAGATGCGCTTCACACATGGCGAGCTTCACAGAGAGCTCTTATGCCGAAGTTTGGTGAATAAAACCAACTTGTGGATTACCCTTGAAGAGTATACCCCATGTAAGCGTTATTCAGCCCACAATCTGGGTGGAATTTCTGTTCTGCATCCCAAATCGTTACCTCAACTTCAAGTACTACTGCCGAGCTTTGAAACATCCTGAGATTTGATTTCACACTTAATCTCCTAAAACGGGAATCAAATGTGAAGCATCAGTGCTCGGCGACCATGAAAGCTTACTCATATAAAGAAAGTGACATGAGAGAAAAACCACCGAAATAAGGTACCGGGTCAGGCTAACTTGCAGTAAAATTCCCAACTTGAGAATAACCACATGATTATGATGACATTAATTTCGATTTATGTCGATTGAGGGCGTTCTTAAACTAACTGGCATTTAGATCCTGGAGATTTAAACCGACCCGGGAAACTTGGGCAAAAGCCTCGATCCTGTGCATCGGTCCATGATTCCGTGAACGCGCGCGATGTGTCTTGTGAGGTCATTAGCCAACCAGAGGCCCGCAGTCTGCGAGTCTAATATCCCGATCCGCGTGGTGTCGCCGTGGGCTAGACGCACGCCGAAAATTTTTCTAAAACCGTGGTTCGAAGGAGGAAATCTTTAACATAAAGTTTTAAAATTTGATGGTAATTTTTCGGGCGTATGAGATCCTCCCAAACGGCCGCAGGTTTGTTGAAAGTTGTTTAAATCTACTCAATCCATACGATATTCAAGACCCGCGATATTCATATTTTAAATGGCTGCTATGGCTGAGCTCGTGAATGCGGAGAATGATTTTGTGGAGAATTGAGCTCGTCAAAGTTTTTTCTCGTTCAATGCATTTCAAGTCGCTTTGAAAAAGTACCAGACGAAACATTTCGTTGTTTTCGTCCGTATGGACTCCAAAAAGAGCAGCAATTCACTACTTTTGTATGAAAAAACCTCCTACCGTTGCAGCAGACATCCCTGCAGACGATGCAGAAGCCGTGGAATTCGTCGCACCTAGTAAGTTAATGGTTGACTGTGTATACGTTGCAACACAGGTCGTACTAATTGTCCGGAAGGTTTCATGCTCGC